GAAAGAAGCTCAGTCTTTACTGAAGTTACAATATGCCACGTAGGAAGAATTGTTGAGAAGCCAAACACAGAACGAATGTTGAGGAGATGATCAGCTGTGTTCAAAGCAGAGGAGGGAGCCCGAGGAACAAAAAGACAACAACATTGGGTTGGTCCAGTGACGGTCATCATTTATCTTCTACAGGCTGACGGATTCCCGATCTTTCTCTTCATCTCTGGTCCCAGTTCTTCACTTGAAGGTACCAGAGGTAACCCATCTTCACCTGGTCTCTATCTGAAATAACTTTTTTCTTGTACTGAAATGTGTTTCTCTTATATTTCCCATTTCAGAGAATGGAATCCACCATCATTGATGCCTAGCTGTCTCACTGTCTGTATCCAAATCCTCTGGAGTCTTCCTGTCAATCTTTTGAATCCATTCACCTTCCTTGTCTTCTCTTCTGTGTCCCTAATTCAAGCCCCCATTGGTTTTGCTCACTGCTTACCTCTCTGACCTCAGTCTAGCCCCTCAACTTCCACTCCACTCACTGTCCAGTCACAGCGCGTCCCCATGATCTCCAAGGGGAATCCTCTGCCTAAGTTCCCAGTATGATCTTCTGCTGCCCTTCTTGAGCTCCCTCCCTCCTACTGCACATGCAGGATGACTCAACCAATTTTAGTCTCTGCAATGTGTCATGTCCTTACCAAGTTTGAGCCTGGATTCTCTTTTCCTGAAACATCTTCTTTTCCCTTAACACCCCTCTTGCCTCTTTCCACCCAATAATAGCCCATGTACCCACAGGGCCTCCTTCAGAGAGGCCTAGACCACCACAACCCTTGATATTTGATTCACCAAAGCAGCCGTCACAGAATATCATAAATGAGTCTTACTTGATGAGGTACCCCACTAGTCCCTGGGAGAAAACTGACCGCTCTTAGTCCTTACTACATGCAGGTATGGAATAGCAGGCAACAGTTCCTTAACATGTTTGTTGGACAATTAGCTAGTTAATGGTACCAGTGATAAAGGGCCAAAGACAGACACAGGGCTCAAGCAAAAGATTGATAGTGAAACTGTAGAAACGATGATGTGTGTGTGTGTGTGTGTGTATGTGAGAGAGAGAGAGAGAGAGAGAGAGAGAGAGAGAGAGAGAGAGAGAGAGAGAGAGAGAGAGAGAGATCATAAGTTGAGCCAGGGAAGGGAAGGGAGAGGTAACCTAAAAGCTGAGAGCGAGGTACAGTTTGAGGTCTTCTCTGCAGTGGGCAGACAAAGGTCAGCAAGCTTGCAGACGAGGGAATCTTTGATCATGTTTAAATGGTGGGGCTTTCCAGAGAAACAGTCTCCCTTTGAGTGGAAAAGGAGAGGGATCTCAGAACAGATGGGAGTGTTTGACTTAGCCGAGGAGATGTCTAGGAAGGAGAAGGTTGTTTATAGCAAGGGAGACACGAGACAGGCGGGCAAGATGCAGACGGCCCGATCTGGGACGTTCCAGTCTTAGGGCTCCTTCCTCTCTCAATGTTATATTCTAGCTCGTGCCCCCTCCTTAGTCCTTGAGTATAGACTATTTTTTATTTTCAAGTATAAACCAGACTGTAAACCCCTTGAGGGAAGAGGTCTTTCTGTACCCTCCCTAACGCCTAGCATCGCTAGCTCTGCTGAGTCGATTGTGGTTGATTGATTTCTATTTAGGATGCTGAAGATAATTTACATACCTTAGAAGAGACTGGTATGTGTTTAATGTGTGGGTTGTTGAAATGCAGCAGGGAATAAAAAATTGGTTTTCTAATTGTCAGAAAAATTTATAAAGTTTTCTGTCAAATTTAAGAGAAGAAATGCTAACAAATTTCTAAATTTTCTCGAATAGTTTCAGGGGCAGAAGACTTTAGGGAAAATTAAGACTAATGTTTTCTGGGTTAAGGAAAGTAGAGTGAAGTAAATGACAGAAAGCATGTCCCTGAAGTCATGTCTGAGGAACCCCCTGCCCAGAATGGGGCACACAGTAGGGCTCAGTGCACATTAGCTTCGACCACCCCTCCTACTGTGGTTGTAGTCCACGTCGCCATCATCCTTGGGTTTTAGAGTCCTAGTGAGATTCCACCGAAGAGGAATTAGTGTGTGTTTAAAAAGTGGTAATGAACCAAGGTAGAGATTTTCTAACTTTCTTAGTTCACAGCTCTCTTGTAATTTTTTCATTGTATTCTCAGGCTAAAAGTAATATCTAACTATTCCCTTTACTAAACACTTCCGTATTTATGTCTTAACAACTTAGTAGCTATTTGAAAAGCTAATACAAAATATTTTAAAGAAATAATTTAATTTCATCCTTAACCTCAATTAGCCATTAATAGATGGTGCCTGCCTATTGAACACCGCATGCAAAGCTCGAAGCTGTAAATCTGATTAGAACCACTACTCTCATTTCCTGTTCCATGCTGACTCTTTTTTTTTTTTTTTGCATGGTACTTGCTTTTCATCTTAGCAACTGCTGAAATATAGCTTTGCAAAGATACCAAATATCATCAGAAAGAAGGCAATAGGATTCTAACACAGAAATTGCTAGTTATCTTGAGCTCATAGTTTGCACAGTGTCTGATAGATGTCAAGTATTGCCTTATTTTCCTTGAAAATATAAAATATCCCATGGAAGTCCCGTCAGTTCACTGCAGCTTTCCAGAGTGCCTGATGGCACCATTTGGCAAATGTGGAACTGAGGCAAGAGCCCTTATGGGTTGGGCAATGTCAGAGCTATGGTTGCATCACGCCTCTTGTCCTCCGGCCCAAGGGCATCTGAAGTTGCAGATCCTCAAATGCTCCAGTGGGTGCAGATAAAAAGCCAGGCTAGAGGTCACTGGACATGTCAAACCTGAAGCTGAGATCACTTAAAGTCTTACAAGCCTTTGGGATAAGGGTAAAACCTATAGTTCTTCAGAATTGCAGATGCCTGTGAGCCTAAGAAACAGCAAAATCAGGCAAGGAGCACGCTGGTCCTGCCAGCCATTATGGCCAAGGGAACTTGCTAGTGATCATTCACCTTTCAACATGGTGAATGATGATAATAAGTGCAGAAAGGAGGCATCAAGGAGTATGTTTCCTACTCTTCCCCGTCAACAGGACCACATGCATATTTCTTTGTAGCTCATCCCTGCTGTACTCTTAGGCTGTTTGGGGATCACCATGAATGGTTGGTTCACTTACTTTTCGGACCCTTGCCCTATAATATAGAACCAGACCTCCATCTCCATCCTCAAATGCTCCAGTGGGTGGAATGATTTCCCTCCTGGTGGATTCCTGGAAGGATTGCTCCATCCACAACGTTTTGCTCATCTTCTCAGCAGAGGTCCTGCTCAGCAGGGGTCCTGCAGCATCTGGATGGAAAGAGAACCACTCTCCTCGCTCTTCTGTAACACTTCCCCAAATGTGTAATCTACTTGGTACTTGTCTGTTTCCCTCATAGGAGTGTAAGCAGCCCACGGGCGGGAATCATCATGTTTTATTTGTGGGTGCATCACAGTACTAGACACATACACTGGCAATCGTGATTTTTTAAAATAAGCAAATAAAATGTGGGAGCACCAAAATATGATGCAGGAGGAGTAGGAGATTGCATTTGAGACACAAGGACAAGAATCAAAGCTGGAGGAACAGTCCCCAAGGGGCTTCCGAGGTTCATTCGAGCCAAGTGTTTGAAAATCAGAAAAGAGTCAAAAAGTCAAACTAGAGGGCAGCTTCGGTGTCACCAAACTGGGTGTTATTTCAGAGTCAGGTTTTTATGTTCCTTTGATGTTGGATGAACAGCCCAGATTCTTCGAAAATGTCTTTAATAGGATAGGAATAACTTCTTCTTCAAAAGGATCAGAAGTGAGTGGGTTGGAGGGGAAAAAAAATCTTAGTGAGATTATATATGGGCCCCTGCGGAGGTGAGAATATTGGCTGGAGGAGACCTTGTCATCTTGGAGTGGGAGTAGAGACATGAGAGAAACATAAAATGTGGCATGTGTCATCACAGCTGTGATAGCCAGTTTGCATTTTAAAAAGTGAATGTAGTGTTATCCTGGCAGATGTGAGACCTTGGGTTTGATCCACAGCACTCCAAAAAAAAAAAAAAAAAAAAAAAAAGGCAAACGCAACTGATTTTGATTTTCTACAATATAATACTCCTTACTGAGCTTTGTCAACACTCTTTTTGTCAATTTATTTTTATTCTAATTTGTTATACATGACAGCAGAATACATTTCAATTCATAGTACACCTAGAGAGCACAAATTTTCATGTCTCTGGTTATACTCAAAGTAGAGTCACACCATTCGTGTCTTCATACATATACTTAGAGTAATGATGACCATCACATTCCACCGTCTTTCCTACCCCCACTTCCCCTCCCTCCCCTTTGCCCTATCTAGAGTTCCTCCATTTCTCCCATGCTCCCTCCCCATCCCCATTATGGATCAGCATCCTCAGATCAGAGAAAACATTTAGTATTTGTGGTTTTTTGGGGGGATTGGCTAACTTCACTTAGCATAGCATTCTACAACTCTATCCATTTACCTGCAAATGCCATGATTTTATTCTCTTTTAATCTGAGTAATATTCCATTGTGTATATATATATATCACAGTTTCTTTATCCATTAATCTACTGAAGGACATCTAGGTTGGCTCCACAGTTTAGCCATTATGAATTGTGCTGCTATAAACATTGATGTCGCTGTGTCCCTATAGTATGCTGTTTTTAAGTCCTTTGGGTATAGTCTGAGGAGAGGGATAGCTGGGTCAAATGGTGGTTCCATTCCCAGATTTCCAAGGAATCTCCATACTGTTTTCCATATTGGCTGCACCAGTTTGCAGTCCCACCAGCAATGCATGAGTGTGCCTTTCCCCCCACATCCTCGACAACACATATTGATTTTTGTCTTCATAATAGTCACCATTCTGACTGGAGTGAGATGATGTCTTAGAGTAGTTTTGATTTGCATTTCTCTGATTGCTAGAGATGATGAGCATTTTTTCATATATTTGTTGACTGACTGTACATCATCTTCTAAGAAGTGTCTGTTCAGTTCCTCGTTCCATTGATTGATTGGGTTCTTTTTGTTGTTGTTGTTTTTGTCTTATTTTTTTGGTGTTAAGATTTTTGAGTCCTTCATACACCCTGAAGATCAGTGCTCTATTTGATGTGCATCCTCTGTCAACACCCTTGTTCTCATTTCCATCTCTTTCTGTTCTTTGAGGACTGCTACCCTAACCTCAACCCACTTGCCTTCGATCAGGATTTGTCCTATGTTCACAATATATTGCTCCCATCTGAGACCATCGAGATGATCTATCAAGATAAGTGAGACACAGACCTGACCCCACAGAGCTCTTTGTATTACACAATGATCCCTGAAGGAAGATCTATGGGTGCTTGGCTCAAAGTGTTCCTGAAGGAAAGGATCCATGGTACGTAAGTTGGGAAATTAGAAATAAATAAATGTGTTTTTACTGAAGGACTTCTCAGACCTTTGATCCGAGGAACGAGCATCCTGAATCTCCAGGAGAGGGTGTGTAGCTCATGGTGTTGGAGGATTTACAATGCCTGAGACTCTTTGGTTCATCTAACTAGTATGGTGAACTGGTGGATAGTTTGGGGATGCACTGGTCCAGATACATCATTCATTTTCTCTCTCTCTTTTTTTCTTTCTTTTCTTTTCATTGGGCCACATTCATGCCAGCTAACCTCATTCAACTCAACATCTTTCTATTTGACACCATATTTCCTTACTTCACTGTGGTCCTCAGTGTTGACAGGAACTTGTGAGGCAGCTGCCACGCCTCAACATCTCTCTCTTCACTTCTTAGACTCACAGCCATCCTGGAAGTCGCTGGGGCTCTGGCATATCTTGGCTGGACCAGTCTTCCCAGTCCTTCTCAGGCCCATCTTGGAGACCAGATGCCCAGGCTTTCCTGACCAGCAGAGGGCTCCTGGTGGCTGGAGAGTGACCTACACGGGCAATTACCCTGGCAAATCTTAACCTGGCCTAAATCCTATATTCCAAAGAAAACATCCACTTGTGGAAAATGTGTCCCTCCTCTTCTCCCTCCACCCAATTCTACACATGATGATGAGTGCTTCCAGGACGCTCCCCACAGGACTGGGAACAGGGGGAGCAATCTACTCATTAAACATTTGTGGAGTGGTCACTGTGTGGAGCACGGTGTTGTCAGATGCATGATGCTATTATTATCCTAATTTCACTGCGAGAAAAGTGGTCTGAGTCACGATACGACCCTCCTAGCATCACTCACGTGGTCAGTGGGGAGGCCAGTTGTCCCAGGCTGGCTGGCTTTGGAGTCCATACTCTTGATATGGACTAGCTCTAACTAGAATTAAAAAAATTATATGGCGAATTAGAAAGGATGAAGTGTACAGAAAAAAAAAAACAGAAAGAAAATGTAGGACACAGGAAGTGACATTAAGTATCCCAAGCAGAGTTGGGAGGCAACAGGGTGCTTGAACAGAGTGCCCTTCAGCAGAGATTTCCGGGGCCCAGGGTGTGCTCTGGGGAATCTCTGGAGGAGCATGCTCTAAGCAGAAGACATAAAGCCCAGGAGCAGCCCTGGGAGACTGACCTTGGCCTCTAACTGTGTCACCAAGTGCCACCTCTTGTTCCTTACTGTTGCTGCTGCGTGCTGGCTGTAGTGATGGCAGAATCCATCCTTCAGAGCCATAAGGTGGTGGCTTCTGTCCTTCTTCCTTCACACCCAGGTCTCCTTACGCTGCCTTTTCTGTGCCAACCACATAAGGTTCCAGGTCTTTCTTCTTTACCATCACATACTTTCCTATCTGCCTTCTCCCTATATTCAAAAACAGTTACCTTTTATCAGGTCCATCCATGAAATGATCTCATCCCGATATCCATTCAGATCCTTGCATACATTCTTGACAAATTAGAATTTCCAACTTACACAAAATGTTCTGAATATTCTCCCAAGGACATGTGTTATGTTTTGTAATAAAATTTTTTATCTTTGTTTTTAAAATAATTTGTGCAAAGAGAAAGCATCTGGCTCTGTTGTATCTGCTTCAGGAAAAGGGATCGTGTCATGGATATGTTCTTTACCAGAAATGGGCAATTACTGGAGAGAAAAACAGGTTCACCTTAGCAACAGCATCCTGATGCCGATGTCACCACCTTACATCATCTTGGTCTCGTGTCGTTGCGTGCTTTCTCTCAAATCTCCAACCACAGCTTTATAGACCTCTGCATCTAAAAGGCTTAGCGAAAAGGAAGAAGTAACCATATTTAAATATTCACTGACTCATTTTCATCTTGAGCTCCATTAGCAGGGCCGGGTTCTACAGCAGCACAAAATGGGAATTGTTCTTTTTCTACTTTCTCCAGCGTGTGCTCTAGTGGTGCTTGTGCTCCGTCTCTCCCGAGCCGTTGCCCACACACCCCTGGGATTGGCAGCCCCTCCAACAAGCCTGATCACTTACAAATGCAGTGATTTTATTTTGCAGAACAGTCCAATCCTGAGACGATTACGGGGGAGATTACAATCACGGATCCTAGGGCTGGAAGGAATCTTCCTTTTTATCTAGTTTCTAGCCCCCCACCCCTTTTATTTGAGGGCGAGGAAAGGGCAACATAATACTCAGCTTTTAGGAAAGACAGAGAAGATTGGGACTCCCTGGAAGTCAGTGGCTCCTGGGGACTTCAGTGAGGACTCTACACGGTGTCAGATCATGCGCCAATGTCCTGTCCTCCCATTCCCTGCCACTCCTCCCGCCCCCACTTGTGCTTCACCTGCAGCCCAAGACCTCAGCACACTGCAGCCAGAAATCCGTCCCGCAGCAGGAACTGGGCCGCCCCTCCCCCCACGAAGAAGTTTTCATCTTGGCATTGGCTTGAAAATAAGTAACATTTAAACACTCACTGTGCAGAATCATTTCAGTTGTGTTTGCTTATAGTCGAAAACATTTGCACCTATTGACTGGAAAATTTTTCTATCAATGAATAGGAAAACTACCCACATACAAATTACAGTTTGGCAAAATCAGACTCTGGGCTTTGGTGCCACAAGCTACTTGGCAAAGGCAAAGGCTGCCCTGGGATTCCTCATGACACGCTCTCCACCAGGCCCCCAAAGTGATTTTAAAAGTTCTCAATTTACTGGATCCCTGTCTAAGAAACACGGATGGTATTTTTAATCTATTTAAATCTTAAAAGTTATTTTTAACATAATTAAGCATTTATAACTTTGCTTTCTACATACATACTTTGAGTTATGTAACATCGCTGAGCTAATACTTTGGACTGTGCTTCAAAAAATTTTCTGTAATCAAGATTTCCCGTTTAAATATAAGAAAGGTTCCTTTTGGTTAGAAATAAATGTGCTTTTTTTTAAAAAAAAATGTTGAAATTAGCCAATGATAGGATTGCCAAATTTGTAATAAAACCAACCAAACCAAACAAAAAAACCCATACATTTGAGCTGAGGTGTAGCTCTGTGGTAAAGTGCTTACCTACTATGTGTAAGGCACTGGGTTTGATTCTCAGCACCACATATAAATAAACAAAATAAAGGTCCATTGACAACTAAAAAAATTTTTAAAAAACATAAATTTTAGGAGATGGTCAATTAGTATACTTTTTTTTTCCATGCTGAATCAACTAACAAGTAATTATTGCCTTAATTAGACTAACTGACACCCAAATAAGGATTCTGACACTGTCCTCAAGAGAGACGAAAGGATTGCCTAATTTATCTTTATGTCTGCAATATTGGAAGGATTATTAAGCATTCATTGTGCTCCCTTTTGCAAAGCACTTAATAGTGATTTATCACTTCATTCTCGGTCTGGGAGGCCACTTGCTTTGTCTTCATGGTACAAGTACAGAAACTGAGGCAGCAGAGCAATCAGGGTCCTGGGTCCCTGCAGAACCTAGTGGCTGAAGTGACATGGCCGAATTCCGAAACCTGAGAACCCATCAGACTCGGTTCACTGGCCTGGGCAGGAATCTGGCAAGTGGGATTCTGGGGGACTCCCTCGTTCACATGGAGGAAATAAAAAGAAAGGATTTTCTTGGCCACAGAAATACAGAGAACTTCCCGAAATTGTCTAAGGGAAATAGTCTAAAATTCCTGAAATAATCTAAATCTGTTTAAAGGAAAAACCAGTTACAGTTTGACCAAGACAATACTTTGTCAGAAGCCATTCTTAGTTTATTCAGTTGCTTGGAGTTGATGTTCAAGCCCACGTGCTATGGCCATGTAGGTTGTGTATCCATATTCCCTGGAAGTTATTGAGGTCCTAGTCAACATCCTTGGAGTGTGTGCATCTCTGGAGTTGTGCAGTACACAACCTACTCACCTATACATATCTACTTAGTAGTTTCAGATGAGGTTGGGACCAGTAGGTACTACTAAGGGCTCGTCACAGACTTATCACTCTTGGATATTCTTTGTGTTTCTCCCCTAATTCTTTTCTAATTCTCCTTTTTTTTATATATATATCTTTCACAAGTTCCTGATCTACATGAATCTTCTACAGAGACTTCTCAACGCTGCCTGTAATAGGGTAAGAACCAATGACTAAGGTTTCTATGTCCTATGAAATTGATAAATCCATGGATTAGCTTTTATATCTAGTACAAAAACAATCCAGTCCTATTGTACTATCTGGGCCAGGCTGCAGTCCCTCAGAAGGTTCAGATTCTCTGCAAAAGGATCTGAAATGAGCTGTTCCACTCTCCAAGCCACAGGAGCGATACTGGGTCATTGAATCCTGCATTCATTAATTGGTACTTCCCCGTAGTTTTTCCTGCTGGATACTGGTCCCATGGGTCAATCTGGGAAGATAATACAGCCTTCTCCTCTGGGTTTGCTTGGGAAATACTGTGTTGTCCACTTGGAGATTTGCAATGCACAGTAGTATATTAAAGGGTCTGAGAAAACCGTCAAGAAAAACCGCTTTAATATTATTTATCCCCAAACATTTTTTTTTTTTTTTGGTTACTCCTGTTAATGTGAAACATGTACCTTCAGAAATGCTGGTCTACAGAAAACCAAGTCAACACACAGCCATTCTCTCGGGAGGTAAGCCCACCCCCTGCCCTCCCTCTGATTGGTGGGTTTTAGGAACCACCTAGAGAGCACAGCAAACCCACTGGAGGTTCCCTGTCTCTTCAGCTGTGCGATGAATTGGGTTTGCAATAGGTCTGCACACAGCAGAGGAGGGGGGGGGGTGTCCAAGAGTCTAGAGAGAAGGCATGGAGCAGAGGGAAAAGGGACACAGCAGAAGGTCAGAGGGCCCAGGGAAAGCAGACCTGTCCCCACCCTTGTTTTATGCAGTCCACTCTACATACGAGGGAACTGAGGCCCGTGGAGTTTCAATAACTTGTTCCAGTCCCACTACCAGCTTGGGGCACAGCTTTAACCCAGACCCATATTACCAACCACAAACCCCACCATTTCCCAAGCTCCTTCCACTTGACCCCACCCTTCCCCCCCCCTCCTTCCCCTTGATCACACTGTTGTTCAGGTTACCATCGCTGCAGAGCCATCATTGCACTGGAGTCGAGCAGACTCCAACCCACCCTCACGTTCAAGTCCCCCCTCTCCCACGTTAGCATGCGGCGTTGCCCAGGCTCCCAGTCCCTAGAAGCCTTCGTCTCTGCAGTGGAGAAACAGCCATCCCCACAAGAATTTTTTTTTTTTTTGATGGAATTAAAGGACCCAGTGTTGAGAAAATAATAAATGCTCAATAAATATTGCCAATTGTTTTTATTACAACAATTTATGGGTTAATTCTCCTATTTTACAAGTTTTACAGGCAAGGCCTGCTTATTAACTGTCAGGCACTACTAGAGCCAAATGGAAAATATCCGTCCCCTCCCTCTCCATCCCATAAAGCTGAAGGATGGCTCAGGGAACTTCACGTGTGGAACATGAATCACACACTCCTCAAGTAGACCCTGCCGCCCGCAGTGGCTGTGTGGTGAGCACACAGAGAAAGAATCGGGCACAGATGTGGAAAATAGAAAATTCCCAAGTTTCTTTCTTTCCTCACTCTGCTCTGAATACAGAACCATGCAGGCGGGTGGATTTTGCTGGGTCAAATGCTTTCTTGCTGATTCATTACTGTGGATACAATTGCTAGAGACAAAGGATGTTTCCTGAGCTCCACGGCCCTTCTCTAACTGCTCATCGGCTTCTATATTGACTGATTTCATAGCTTTGATTCCTAGTCTCAGAAATAACTTTGTGCCTGTGTTTCATAGGAGCGGACCTATTAGTACTTTCCTGACGACGCCGAATAAATTCTTTACCTGAATTAGAAAACAAAGGAAAGTTAAGGTGCAATATTCCCCAATAGTTCCAATATTTCTCCCTTTGCGTTCTGTCTTTTGTCTTAACAAATTTGATTAAATTTAAAATTAAAATTTAATGATGGTAATGCACTGAATACATCAATATATTGTGATGACATTACCGCAGCGCAGTGTTGAATTTTGTATTCTATCTGGGTCAGCTATGTAAATCAACAACATTAATGAGCTTTTATTAAATCATCTTAGTAAAAGCTCCACTGTCTTAACTGTTTACTTAATTCTACAGCCAACAAAAAACAGTTGTCACCTTCTGACAGATCTTATTCAGAATGAGAGTCTTCTTCTTATGGGGGGAAAAATTTGATGTAAGCTGTAATCCAACAGTGATGTCATATTTAGAGTCCATAAAATGGACGCTGTTATAAAATTCAGGCCTTATGGATCCCACCTTGCCATCCAAGAGAAACAGGAATGAGGGGAAGAAGTTCAAGGGGAATGCTGTGCTTCTGTCATTTGTTTTATATACAGAGTGCTACTCTGCAGAGAGCACGGAATTACTTATAGACATCTGCACTACTTGGGGGATCCAACCCCTGAGAAAATTTTGAGCCAGACTGACATGGCCAGGCAGCAACCCACTTCCTGCTCCTGAACAAGAAATGTTCCCTAAGTAAGTTGATAATATCACTTAATGGCTACATAATCAATACATTTTTCAACATTGTTAAGATAGCATAGGTTTTTTTCCACCCCTAAACAGTAAGTTTAAACAGCATATTCAAATAAAGTCTGGCACACACACAAAAAAAATAAACTTCATGTATTCAAGAAACAAGACCAGGAGTTCCTCATATCGGTATACTTTGCTAACTGCTTGGTTTATTTATATGCACTTAGCTGAATAAAATTATCTTCTTTTGAAATTACTATGTAAATATTTATTTATTTTATAATGCTTTCTTTTTTTGCCTCCTCAATTTTGCAGTGCACGGATAGAACCAGCCCCTTGCTCATGCTGGGGAAGGGCTCTACCACTGAGCTCTATCCCCACTCTGATTTTGCAAATATTTTAAGTGGAGATTTAAAAAAAAATAACAAAATTAACTTAAATAGTTGTTTTAATACTTGAGATAAGCCTTTCCCTAAGCCATTTACTAACTGACCAAGGTACCAAATCCAAGGCTAGACCCTGAAACTTTAAACGCTATGGACAAACTCCGAGGGCCCTGACCAACACCAGCCCTCATCCCACCTGTGTGTCTTTTGTGTGAAAGTGGGACTTACTGCATTGCCAAGGTGACCTTCTGATTGGGGGCTACAGAAGAAGGGCAATTTCTACCATATGGCATATGCGTCATTGTGGCTAACATCTGAGATAAATCAGACCCTTAGCCAGATGGCCAGAACTCAGGAGACAGAC